GTTGAATGTTGCCATCCAGCTTACCACTGGATATGCTTTGGAGAGCAGTTCTACTGTCCGAGCAGATATAGATGTTTTTGCCCTTGAGCTTAGTACTCGTATTAATGTACTTGAGGGCTCTGTAAATGGCATACAGTTCAGCCTGAGTGATGGAGCAGAACCCTGCCAGGCGGTGGGATTCTTTGTGCATGAACTGATTATTTCGAGTATTATAGTGGACCAGACCAGCACCCACCCCAGTCTTAGATTTAGAACCGTGTAGACAATATTATATGGAAGGGAACCCTCTATCTGGGAACCCATTGAGACCTCAGGTAGATGAGCAGGATGATGCAGTGGCGAGTAGGTAGTCTGAAAAGTGGTGTTGAGGCTGGGGTGAAACAGGTGGTCCATTTCCAGATTGGGTAAGCTTCCTATGTCCAGGTATGCTAGAAGTTCTTTCTGTTTCCCCGTAGGTATGATGAGGTGAGTCAGCCTCCAGAGGATCCTATTGGCCTGAGCCTTAAGACTCATAGGTGGTATCCCAGTCAGGACTTGGAGAGCTGCCGTGGGAGCCGTTTTGTATGCCCCCGATATCCGAAGAAGGCATACACGTTGCACTTTGTTAAGAGCCCTCCTGATGTGGACCTTTGAAGCTGCTGCTCCCCAGGTCCCTTAGTCTCGAGTTTTTCGTGTTACAACTCCCAACATGTTAAAGGTGTCACGTGGTACCGTCTCACACTCTGACGTAAAATTGGTAGTCTCGAGTTCTAACTCACGTGCTTTCCCATCTCACCATGTGAGATCGCTACACGAAAGTGAAAATGGCTGATGGATACGCAATTCTTATCGCTATCGAAGAGTTAGAAAGAGCCGAAAGACGTTGTTTGAAAAGGCAACAAATTTTTCGACCACGAGTAGACGACATTTCTTTTCGTGTCAAGTCAATACTAATAAAAAAATTTTAATTCATAATTGATAAAATTATACAGCAAATTTTTCCAAAAATAAAAAGAAGTATCTAATTCAGGGGTGTCCAAAACGTGGCACATTGGACGATTACAAGTGGCGCTTTAGTCAGTTCTGAGCAACATTGCCAGATTTGGCTTCTTTGCGATTAAGAATATTACATAGAAAAATTAATTTTTTATAGTCTTGGCAAGTACATTTGTTGCACAATTCGTTGCAATCTACTTTCCAGATAAAATGAATGTTCTCCGCATAGTAAATTACAGTGTATGCGTGCATTTTGAGTCTTGCAATCTTTATTTCCGATCAGTTTACAGGCATGTAAATGGCAGAAAACATTTATTGTGATTAAAGTTATTGCCGGAAAATCACGAATGGTTTTTTTAATTTTATCATCAAATCTTGGGTTGTTAAAAGATTTTTAGGAGTTGGCTTCTTTTGGGCTACATTTTAAAAAATGTTTGGTTACAAACACTAAAAACATCAGGCAACACTAGTTCTGAGTGAGTGAGCCCTGGAGTAAGACAGTATAAAAAGTGTTCGAGTTATATGGCGCATCTGAACTCGTCTGTCAAAAAATTGGCGCATGGTATGCAAAAGGTTGGCCACCCCTGATCTAATTCATCGAAAAAGAGTATTAAAATGATAGTAAATTATATGTATAAGTTATTAAAAGCATAGACACTATATTAAGACTATTTATTAATCAGAAGTGTTAAGTTCTGATTAATAAATAATCTTAATAGACAAAACAATTTAAGAAATAGATCAAGGAAGAAAACTATATAAAGAAAGGATTAAATTTAAATGCATTTTCGATTACATAAGGGATTTTTTAGCTCCAACATATGCAATTAATTTTTCAACTAATTCTCTCCACAAAGCGAATTGTCTTTTTCTTGTAAATTTGTTGTCGAATTTTCCACTGTTCATTTTCTTATTATTTTTTACATATGTTACTAATATTTCTTTTTGTTCTTTGCTTTTTTTTAAAAATAAAACATTAGAGATTTTCATTGTTTCTGCATACTATATTGCTATAAGACAACTTTTAACTGTAGCACGTGTAAACTAATTCGCGTTGATTTGTTTACAACTTGTTACAGTTAAGTTGATTGGTCGAATCATTATAGTCGCAAACCCAGATGCATTGTAAATAATCCCATCATGCTTGACGACACAAAACCAAGTGAGTATGACGTATTTCCGCTCGCCTCTCGAGTTCACTCGAAGGGTCTAACTCGAGACTAACAATTATGTGAGTCATAGTAACACAAGCGAGTTCGATGACGTCAGTTCGAGTGCAACACGAAAAACTCGAGAGTAAGGGCCCAGATTGGGGCACCATACAAGACTGTAGGCTCTATGACCTGTCTATAGATAATTACGAGAATGTCTCTGTTGACCCCCAGCTCTTACCGGCCATGTAACTGAGGAGATTAGCCAGTTTGAGGGCCTTCCAACATACATAGTCCACATGTGGGTTCCACTTACATACAGAAATATCTGATATATTTCTCTATTTACATACCTACTTTTTCATTTTAAGAAATATCAAGTACGAGAAATGAATTATATATTTAGCTAAATACATTTACCAAAAATTTTCAAGATATGACCAACACTGCAATTATCACTCACAAAGGTAAAAAGTAAAGGAAACTTCTCATTTTTTAATATTTTCAATCCATCATAATGATTCAGTAATAAAAAGTATTTAATTGTTGTAAATAACTACTTTTGGGGTCTTGATCAAATAATTGCAGATTCCAATTAATAAAACAAATTTATTAAGCGCTCGAATACTGTACAGAGTGCCGGCAGTACCGTACACGTGGTCAGACAGACTGTCCGGGAGACAAAGACCGAAAACTAAGGACGCGGTAAGTGTTGCCAGGTTGGCCACATACTCCCTCCCCAGTGACAACGCTCAGGAACTTAGACGGGAAACGTACAGTTCGTCCAGAACGAGTCGTCCATGGAAAAGGTGCCTGGATTTGCGTGGTCTCATCCGGTAGGTGGTCGTTTCTATCGACAGGTCCATCGTCACTGTTGGAGAATGGCGAAGGAGTGGTTGTAACTTTCAGAAAGAAAGCGGGTTTGAGGCGGTCGATTGAAACAGTTTGCTTTCCTCGAGGTGTATCTAAGTCGAAGTGTTTCTCTGAGCGTCGTAAGACACGGAAAGGGCCATCATAGATTGGTTGTAATGGTTTGCGTGATGCATCATGACGCACGAAGACGTGTGAGGCAGTCATCAACTCAGGGTGTAAAAATATATTTTTAGAAGAGTGGTGGACATCTCTGACTGGACGAATCGACCTCATGTGATCTTTTAACCTGCAGATCAATGTAGGAAAATTATTGGCAGAAGTAGTCTCATGGTCAGCGAGGAGATCAGAAGGCAGTGCAATGGGTTCGCCGTACGTAATCTCTGCTGCTGTAGTGTTATAATTGGGGATGACATAGGATCTTAGCCCCAAGAGGATGGTTGGGAGTTTAGCAACCCAATTATCAGTCAGCTGAGCTCTCAGCGAGGACTTGAGCTGACGATGCCACCGTTCAATTTTTCCGTTTGCGGCTGGGTGGTAAGCTGTTGTCTTAATGTGGTTAATTCCCAGGGCTTTGGTGAGGTCAGCAAAAAGTTGACATTCAAACTGGCGACCCCTGTCAGTGGTTATAACACGTGGTATGCCAAAGCGTGCAATCCATGTAGAAAGGATTA